GTTTTTTACTTGGTGGCCTGACAGAAGATTGGCCACACACTACTGAGGTATGTGAACTTGCTGAGCTGGAAGGCGCTGCTGCTTATATGCATGATCCACCACACTCTTAAGGATCTATGCTGTCTGTGTAATAAAGCTGTGGGATTCTCAGGCAAGAAATATTGTGGAGGTAATGGGGTGAGTCTTGATATCTCTTAAATAGCCAGGGCTGCAGACCTCACGGCCTCTGATCATCCATAGAGACCTGGATGGAGCTGAGTATTGTTTGTAAGACATTGGATGCTGTAACTATCTTTCCAGATGGGTCCCAAGGAGATGAAGGCCCAGAAGATCTTAAAAGTATGTGTATGAATTTGTCTTCAAGACCACACAGAATCAGGAGCCTCTCCCTATGCTGTCAGACCAGGTCCTCCAAAGTTGACTTAGGCCATTCCATGCTTTTCAGAGGCATTTGCAATCCATTCTGCAGTCTGGCTCTGGCTAGTCCTTTCTTGTTTATGCCCAACTTGTCCTTCTTAATGACTTTTCATTGTAGTTTGAGCTTTCCTGCCCATACAATTGCCTATCAATTTCAACACACTATTCTGATTCTAATTATTCTTTAGAATTGGGCTTTGACCTCACGTTGTCTATGAATCCTGTCTAATCACTCCTGCTGAACAATGTTTTGCCTCATATTTCCTATTTTACACAGAGACCATTCCAGCTTCCCCTCCCATTTATTTCCTGCATATGGAAACATCCTGCATTTGACATTGTGAGTGTATCTCATACTCCCATGAGTAACATCCTTAAAGACCAAGACATATGTGTGGGAAGTGAGAGAGGAAGTGTAGAGATATAAAGATATTTTACATTCTTTTATGTATTTAAGTTGTTAGCCTGTGTTACCCCACCTACTAAAACGTAAATAAAATTATATTACATCTTCAAATTCAGGTGTCCCTCCAAGATCTCTACAAATTCTGGGAGGTTTACAGCCTCATTCTCATAGTTACCCTCATTACCATTTCCTATTGGTCTGAATCTCACACATGAGATAAGACTTTACCTTATCTCAGCTTGGAACCTACCTGACCTGGAAACTACTCCTGTTCTTGGATTTTCCTGAGGATATGGCTCATGTAAGACATTCATAGTAGCAGATTATATTGAAGTCTTGTAGTAGTTAGACGCTTTTTGCACCATGCAGCGAAAATAGCATACAGTACTAGATTTTCTTAGCTTCACTGTTATTTCAGTATCAGTCAACTGAGAAATTTCTCACTAGCTCACTCCATAAGACACGCACCTATGTGATGGGATATGCCCCATAGGACTGGATCCCTTCCCTTTCGGCATGTCTTCAATCCCACATAAATCTCCCCTCTCCAATTCTCCTTAATTTTTTAACAAACATTTAGCTATCTCTTACCACGTTTCGAACCACATGCTAGGTGTCTAGTCTTTCACAACCCAAACAAAGTAGCAGGTTAAGAAGGCAAGCTAAAGAGAAGACCATTGTCACTGGAGATCAAGCATCCTACCTATTATCTCAATTACATCAGAGGCAGATGGGACTCACTAATTGTTCCTTCAAATAACAAACCTTCGGCCAGGTGGTGGCTCATGCCTGTAATTTCAGCCCTTTGGGAGGCTGAGGCGGGTAGATCACCTGAGGTCAGAGATTTGAAACCAGCCTGGCCAATATGGTGAAACCCTGTCTCTACTAAAAATATAAAAATTAGCCTGGCATGGTGGCAGGCGCCTGTAGTCCCAGGTACTCTGAAGGCTGAGGTGAGAGACTCTCTTGAACTCTGGAGGCGGAGGTTGCAGTGAGCTGAGATTGTGCCATTGCACTACAGCCTGAGCAACAAGAGCAAAATTCCATCTCAAAAACAAAAAACAAACAAAACCCCAAAACAACAACAACAACAACAGAACAAACCTGCTAGTCATTCTGATATATTTGTATCCAACTTACAAGAATATGGCATCTTTTTTCGGGCACCAAGCATAGTGATTTTCACAAAGTAGACATTCGATGTCTATTTATTGGATGGAAAACAACTCCAACAACAAAATCCAAGGTACTTCCCTGCTCAGATAAGAGGCTGTGGCTCTGACAAAGCTTTGGGTCTCTCTCACCTGCCCCATCATTCCCACATCCTTTCCTAGCCTCCGGATTTCTGTCTATTGTTGTTAGGTGGTTGTCATTTAATCCCCAGTAAAAGTTTATCTTATAAAGGTGTAAAGCGTTTGTACCACTCCTTTTGGCTTCTCTTCTCCATCACCTACCAGAAAACAGAAAATCCTTCAAGATTCAAAGTAAAGCAGCGAAATATTTAAGTATGAAGATAATATTTAGCTAGAAGGTCCTGCCAATTGTCCCTTAAATGCCACTTGCTAAGTGGCTTTGTGTATTGTAAGCCAGCATCACTTTGGGTGCTTGTTAAAAATGCAGAATCTTACTGGATCACAATCTATGAGGATTCTTAGTGTATTCTTAATAAGCTCCTTGAAGGATTCTTATGCTTAAAAGTGTGAGAGCTATAGTGTAAATGCATTCTCATACCCGTGTTTCAGAGAAAAGAAGATTCTTCCCTTAGGACTAGTACATCTTCTGTCCTGACCCTTCTGCCTTCATTATGGCAGGAAAAGATGAGTTCATTATGCCATATTGACAGCCAAATACATTTCTGTTTTATTTTTATGTTGGCTGTAATAAACTGTTATTTTTTAGAATAAATCAATTAGACTTATTCATCACAAACAGATTTCTGAACACAACCAATTATATTGTAAACTTATCTAGCACACTCCTTTTCCTGATAAGCAGCTAAAGAGTAAACACGAAGCATATAAATTTGCTGGCATTTTAAATTACAGAAGAAAATGCAACAGGAAGTAACTTCAGCTGGAGTGTGACTTGCAACCAGAAGTACTGAACAGGGCATACCTGATGTGGGCTTGGGACATGTGAGGGGAACCTTCAATGGTTAGCCACCTCTGCTGCCTTTCAGACTTATGCTTTCTTTAGAGGCAAGTACCTGGACCCTTGGAACTATGGGAATTTAATGCTGACACCAGCAGAAAAAACACCACTCTTCCAGTTCCCTACAGCTACTGCCTGATTCTCTTGAACTGCAGCAGAACTCGCCTCCTCTACAAATCCTGGCCCCGCTGAGTGTGTGAGCTCTGGCAGAGTATCCAGGGTAAATTGGCACACACTCCCTCCTGTCTGTTTGGGTGACTCACTGTGTTCAGAGCACATTTTCCCTTCATTGACTGCCAGCTATAGCTATTGGCTCACTCATTCTCTTTGGAAAAACTCAGCACTCCTGTGCTAATGCAATTGCTTGAACTGATGTACAATTGTGTGGAGTCCTGCAGAAAAGCATAAAACTCTGCTTAAGGGTGAGACCTGTCTCATTTACCAGGACATCAGACAAAGGTACTTATCTTTGTCTACTTGTTGCTAACATACTCATCTTATTTGTGGCCCTCTTATGGCTTCCCAGCGTAGAGAAACCTCACAAACTGCAAAGACTCAAAAGTGCCAGTGGTCAGGAAATCAAAGACAAATGTGTTTCCTTTCATCTGTATCTTAAGATGAGAAACAAAGGGCTTGCGTATCTGGAAATATGGGCAATTTTTCTCCCTTTCCTGCTATCCTCAGCACTTGGGTAGTTTGGAGTGCATTAGCTGAAGCTTGTATATAGACATAGATTTCACGTAAGTTAACTATCTTCCTATATAAGCTACTACCTTCATTAAAAGCAGGGAACCATTCTCTTTTGTGTCTACCCCAGAGCCTGGTTATAGTTTGAGTTCCATGCAGCCTTAGAAAGGCTTGTTGAAAAACTGAGTGGGGCATACTCTCATAGAAAAGCCGAGAGTGTTGAAGGAAGGGCTATTTTGCCAGTCATCTTAATTTTTTCCACACAATTTCTGCACATCAAAAGCAGGCTTCATTTATTCTTTGAGAGAAAAAATGCATAATAAATCAGTCTGCAGTAACCTAATTTCACCTCATGGGTTAGACAAATAGCCAGAATTGAGTTTTAAAGAAAAAGTGTCTGTGAGAATCTGGGCACACGACAAAGGCTGGGTATTTTATGTGAATTTGTCCATGTGCAATGAATGTCTTAATTTTTCCAGTTAAAATGGTTAAGCTCTTGGACTCTGGAGTTAGAGATTTGAAATGGATTTCTGTCTAGGCCACATACAAACTGAGTGAATATGTGTGACACCATTTAACCTCTTTAAGCCTCAGGTGCTTCACATGTCAAGTATGTGTAATAGAAATCCCTCATGAAGTTGTGGTTAGAGTTAAATGAGACAATTAATGTTAAGGGCTTAGCCAGGTAACTAATATATAGTAATTAATAAATGACAGTTATTATTACTAATGGTGTTTGATTACATGTGGACATTGAGGGATGGGGCAATTGAGACATATTCATATATACATTTTTTTCTAATGTTGACCTGAATTTCTATGTAGTTCACTGTGAGAAAAAAAGCAAAAAACATCACCTCTCATGAAAAAAGCTAAGCTAAATATCAGTGTCACTAATCATCAGGAAAATGCAAATCATAATTATAATGAGATATTAGCTCCCACTTGTCAAGATGACTATTACTTTAAAAAAACATACAAAATATAAGAAGTGTTGTTGAGGATGTGGAGAAATTGGAACTTTTGTACAGTGTTAATGGGAATGCACAGTGGTGCAGCCACTATGGAAAATAGTGTGGAAATATAAAAAATAGAACTGTCATATGATCCAGTGATCTCATTTCTGGGTATTTATCCAAAAGAATTGAAACTAGAATTTCAAAGAGATATTAGCACTCCTGTGTTCACTGCAGCACCATTCACAGTAGCCAAGATGTGGAACCAATCCAAAAGTTTATTGACAAGTGAATAGATAAAGAAAATGTGATATATATACAATATAATGCCATTCAGCCTTTAAAAAGAAGGAAATTCTTTAATATGCAATAACATGCATGAAACTCGAGAACATTTAGCACAATAAACAAGCCACTGAAAGACAAAGACTGCATGATTCCACTCATGTGAAGTATCTAAAATAGTCAAATTCATAGAGTCAAAGAAAGCAATGGTGTTACCAGGAAGCGGTGGCAGGGGTAAATGGGGAATTACTAATTATTAGGCATAAAGCTTCGGGCAAGCAAAATGAACCTGGAGATCTGCTGTACAATGTTGCACCTATCATCAACAATGTACTGTACGTTTAAAAATGTGCTGAAGGTAGATATTATATTAAATATTCTTACCACATTAATAGTTTTTTAAAACCTTAAAATTAAATAGAAGTATTTGGTACACTCTCATTGGCCTATTGTTAATGCTTCACCTTGTGGAAAGTTGGCAACATGAGAGTTTTATGGAAATAGAATCGTTCCATCACTTTTATTTCCAAATATGTAACTGACTTTTTCAAAGGTTGAATGTCAAGCTTATGTAACTGCATGGAATTACTCGATGATTTGAGTGATTCCAATTCATCATGACATCTTGGATCCAGAAGCCATTTCTGAAGCCATCCCAAATAGATAAAGATCATCTACTGTCAATAGAACTGGGATTTCAGTAAGAAAAATTGGCAGACGATACGTTTTTCATGTACTTCCATAGTTTTTGAGCATTGTTCCATACTGAGCTATAAGAATATTGATTTTACACTGATGGCTTCCATATTAGAAAAGATGTAAGAAATATACTTACTGATTGTATATTTTAAGTCTTCAAGATATATCTAGGTGACAAAGCAATATTATAGCAAGAAGCTTTGAACTTTCTGGAAAAATTAAATTTTATTTTTCCAACTGAGATATCACAAATAATATTGAACATGTCTTATACAACTCCAAATCAAAGATAATACATTTAGGACGATAATGAAATTGTCCACAATACCCTTTAGGAATAATCTTGGAGAAAACTTTCCTTCATTAAAAATGGATATTGCTGAACAAAACAAATACTAATGCAGAGGCACTGGCTTACTTTACATTTATCAGTGAACTCTATTTGACCTTCACTTTAAGGACACACAGCAGGAAAGCTGTCTGGAATACCCCACCCTAAACAGTGGATGAATTTATTACATCTCCGAATAAAGAATGCCTGAGCAGTGGCTCACTACTTGATAGAGGAGGAAAAACAAAAATAGTCCAAGCTGTTTTTATTCAGGAAAAGTTCAATTTTTCGGTTCATCCTCAAAACAGTGAAGTTGAAGAGACTTGGAGCTCGCTGACTTAGTGGTATATTTCAGTTATGAATAATAAGAGATGAAGCATTTGTTACTATTGTGAAAACCTGATGAGCTCTATTCCACAGTGACTCAAAGCTCTGCTGAGTTAATACTTTTGGAACAAGACTGGTCTTGGCTTGAAATTACACTGAATCAAGTGGACACTTCTTAGACCTTATCTTACTTGACTTCTCTGCAAACTTTGACATTGTTGACTGAACTCTTCTCTGTGAAAGTCTTCCTTCTCTGTGAAACTCTTCAGCTGAGCTGAACTCTTCCTTAGCATCTGAGATTCCTCACTCCCAAAGAGGTTGTCCACTCTACCTCGTGATGGCTCTTGACCAATCTCCTAATAGTTGGTCTTGCTGAGATTTTGTTGTGATCTTGTTGGAATTAAACACTAAATCCATAGTCCCTTGGTGACATCATCTATTTATGAGATCAACTACTACATATAGGGTAAAGAATTTAAAAATCAATTATATCCTGAGACCAAAATCTCTATTTCCAACTCCTTACTAGATTTTTTTGCTTGGATGTTCTGCTACCCAACATTTAATGTGTCTGTACTGAACTCCTTATGCTCTGCTCTGCTTCTCCTATTCTTCCTGTTTCCATGAATGCTAACCTAGTTGCCTCATTCAAAAAACATTCTTGACTTCACCTTCATTGTTCCCCACAAATAATCTCAAAGACTGTCTAAATTCTAATCCTCTCTCATCTTCTCCATCTCTGGTCATATTCATTGTCATTGTCTTAGTTCAGGCTCCCATTGTCTGTCTCTTGATCACTGCCTTAGACTCCTAACTGGTTTTGCCTGACTCTTTTCTCTATGCTTCAGAGTTTCACAAAGTGTTACAAAATAGACATCTGATCATTTCTTTCACCAGATTAAAATTCTCCCAAAATTTGCTATCATCCTTATAATAAAGTTAAACTTGTAAGCAAGTAAAGAAGTCCTGGATGCTCTGATTTCTTTTTACTTTTTAATCTCTCTAGCTTTAGTGTTTGCCATCTTTCCTCTTGTACCACCTTATGGCCATATTCAAATACTTGAAGTTGCTCAATGAGCCATTTTCTCTCTTTCCTCTGGGTCTTTGCCTATGTTCTTCCCTCTGCCTGGAATAATCTCTTTGTTTGTCTCATTATTTGTCTGGCTTCTTATATACAAACTGTTGTCCTTATGATGTAAATCTGGAGAATCCAACAGATGACAGCAAAATTTACCTGAAAATGAAGGAAAGACATGAGGAGTTTAAAAGACAGAGAAGAACTGCCTTTAATCAAATACTTGGAGATTTGAACTTCTTATATTTTGATTACCAATGTACTTTTTTTCTCAAATTTGTAAAAGTACTGGATTTTCCTAGCCCTTTCCATTTATTTCATGTTCCTATCCATAAATAATAGAAAGTGGTTTGGCTATTTTCAAGGCATAAAAGAAAAACAACGATTACCTTTGAGCATATACTGTAGCATTGAACACATATTCTTTTCAATTCTAGGCCTATGTTAGATATTCTTTCTTGTTACTGCTATGAAAGCTGATGCATTTAAATATCATACTTACGAAAAAATATTTTCAATACCTATGTACTTCTCTTTGTCCTTTGAGAGTTGAGGGCATGAGCTATATCTTTTCAATATCCTATCCCTAATGTCTTTTTCAGCACTTGATATATGGTAGTCACTCAATAGATATATTTTAGAATTAACTAATTAATTGTGGAATTACAACCCAGGAAGAAGAAGGTGCCTCAAATATCTTGTACTATTTCAGAGTCACTAAGCATCAGATGAGGATTTCTGGACAACTTTCTTAGCTGGTGTACCCTCAGCTCACATCCAGACATGGGAATGATAGAGAGAGAGTAGACAATTGATCTTAGGTTACAGTAGCCATGAACTGGGCTCTGAAAGCATACAGCCAGTGGTTCGGGAGTCTTCCCTGTGCCTTTCTAAGGAGTATATGAGAGAGACATTTTATTGTTCTTGAGGGCATTATGGGCCCCATAATCTCTGAAGCCAGGGAAATACTTAACTCCATATTCGTGGCTTTTGGGAACTCAAGTGGAATCCAGAATGTTGGACCTGATGCTCCATGGATTTTTGGGAATCAAGTCAAGGTTGTCAGTGGCTACAGAGGGCCAAGAGTGCTTGATATTTCCATACATTTTTTTCTTCCAAATGAATCTTGGGATTATTTGTCTATGGTTCTGCCAGAGGCCTTTCCAGATTGTGATGCATTGGGAGAAAGCCACCATGAACATGTTGTCAGGTCTTCAGTCTTTTGCCATTGCGTGAGAAATAGAGCTTGTCAAACATGTAGCAGAGCCGAACTTTCCAAATTCCACAAGACTTCAGAGTGCTTGGAATGACACCCACCCACAATTAAAACAAAAAGAAGGATGAGTAAGTTAGGAACTAAAAATTGCATTTTTTCTAAATTAGATTTATCTGTAAGCTTTAAATATGTGCAAACATATTTCGAATTATCTGGTATGAATTGTGGTTTTTTGTTATTAAACAGCCATTTTGTTTAATCCTTATGTGCAAAGTGAAAAGAGACTGCTTTGCTGGATTTTTCTCTTTGGTAAGTATTGAATTTTGAGGGGGTGCTAGTCTTTCTAGCCAAATTGAAAACTTATTCAGAATTTAGAGGATACTCCATCTGAGTTCAAGCTGTGTTAGGGTTTGGCTACATATTTTTCTTTGGCAATGGAAAGGATGTTTGATTCTTACGACTTGGTACACCTCAAACAGGCTCCCACACAGATCGTTGTCCTTGTATGGTAGATGTGGAGGAAACCAACATATGAGAGTAAAATTCATGTCAAAGAAAAGAAGTGAGGAGTTTAAGAGATAGAGAAATGGCTTTGATCAGATGCTTTGAGGTTTTGAGCTTCTAGTATTTTGATTTTCAACATACTTATTTTTTTTTCAAAATTTGAAAGTTTCTAGGTTTCCCTAACCCTTGTTGTTTGTTTAACTTTCCTATCCATAACTAATAGAAAGAAAGTGGTTTGGCTATGTTCAAGGCTTAAAAGAAAAACAGCTACCAGCCATAAGCATCTGTTATATACCATAACATTGAACACATATGGTCTCATTTAATTTTCACAGTCTCCTTACCTACAGTATTATCTTCCCCACTTTACAGATGGGAATGATGAAACTCAGACAGGTAAAGTGATGTACACAAAGGCATGCAGTTAGTAAGTTTTAGGCCTTGTCCAACTCCTATTCCTTATGTCAGAAATGTTTTGTCCAGGGTTCCCTTCGGCTCACTCCTCCTGCCTTCCCTACTTTATCTGAGTAACTCCCATATCCTTCAAAGCCTAGTTGCTGGTTTTCCATCACCACTCCAGTCTTTGTTATGTGCCCTCTCACTTTCTCCGAGACTGAGTCTGCCTGCATCAAATACAGATTACAGGTATGTTGAGTCTCTCTCATCTTTAAAACTTTAGTGATTCACTTAGCTCTATTTATTAATATTTATAGAATAAAAATATAAATTAGTAACTTCCTTAGAATTTCTATGAATAATGGCTCCATTGACTTATCTGAAAGAAAACCTTAGTATCCAATAACAATTCCTCTCCGCAATCTTTCCAATGGAGGCCATTCACTGAACAGTTGAAAGGAGACTGCTGGCTTTTTGTTCCCCACACTTCTTTCATACTCTTCTCCCAACATAGCCATTAAATTTCACTTCAGAAGAAGGGCCACAGTATTCATCACACTACTCTTCCACATTTGCAGTCATCTTAGTTTCCGTATTCTAGGATAGTGAAGGTAGAACCTCAGATAAGAATTAAATGCTAGTGCTTTATTGGGAATTAAATCCCAGGAGAGTGAGAATGAGAGAAAAGGGAAGTGGTGCAGCCAAGAAAGGTGAAGTGTTACCCCTCCGCTGATGTCTTCACAAAGCAGGGCAAAGAGCACATGCTGTCATGTGGCAGGTGCCCACACTCAGTCATACAGGACTTCTTTATGCAGGCTGATTGGAGAAAGTAAGACAGAGGAAATTGATTTGCCCACTTTTCTCCTGCCTCTCTTTGGCTAAGATGGCACCAGAGAGTGTTAACTACCTTGCATTCCACTTTGTGTCATCCAGCTCCTTTAGCAGCCTCCTGGGAAGCCAGATGCACTCCCTCTGGTGGCATTTCCTGAAACCTGGAAGAGAAGAGAGGAGACAGAGACCATGGGCTTCGAGTGGTTGGTTTTAAAAGGCTGACTGCATAGCCCTGCATGGATGCATCTGTTGCACTGGTAGTGGAAGTGAAATAAACTGCTGAAAACCGAAACAGTTAAAGCTGAGAAACTCACCTTAGTTAATAATAGTATATTTGAAGTTTTCTAAGAGAGTAGATTTCATATGTTCTCACTACACACACACACACACACACACACACACACACACACAATGTAAGGTGATTAATAATTAGCTCGATTATGGTAATCATTTCACAACATAGACATATATCAAAAGATCACATAGTGCACTTTGAATATATACCATTTTTATTTGAATACATACCATTTTTATTTGAATACATGCCACAATAAAACTGGAAAAAAAAAGATAGCATTCCAACTGTCAAAATCTACTTTTCAGGGATCCACTCCAAGGGAGTCACCATTCCTTCATGTTATTATTAAATAGGTTCTCCATAGAAAAACTATCTTTGGTGAAAAAAATTAGACTCTAGAAGTGATATTTTGCCAGCAACATCTCCCCGATGAACTCAGTGTGGCAATGGAAATTCCAATTCCCTATCTGGGGTCAGCTTCAGAAATGAGCTTATTTATGTGCTTCAAATTGACTTATCAACTAATGAACCAAGAAACAATTTTTCTTTTGGCTGCGTTTTACAAGGGTCTTGCTCAAATTTTAAAGGTTAGGGAGTTTTAGAGTAAAATTTGTTTCATATTTTTTCTATGTAACATATTTACTTCCCATTAAAATACAATTTTCTCTACTAATAAGGTGTTAGACTTCTGAACCCTTAGAGAAACTGTACTTGACATGAGCATTACCTCATCTAAATGTATGCTCCCAGTAAACTTGTCATCATGCAGACTTGATGCCTTAATTTTTTCTTTTTGTAGCAAGATGCCTAACTAGTTACTTATGTAAGCATTGTTAGTGAAATTAGGGGGACTAAGGGGAATAAAAATTGTATGGCAATTATGAATGTTAGAACTGAGCACAATCATTACTGCAGCATCTGATACCAACATTTCAGGGTAAGCCAAGTAGGCTCTTCAGAATAAAAATGAGGGTAAATAGACTCAATTCATTTATTCAACACGTGGGTCAAGTCCATGAACTCCACAAAGATAACTGTGCCATGGATTTTGCCCTCTATTTGGTAAGACGTGTATATGGTTTGTCTACTCATTCAGCGAACACTTTCTGAGCATGTTTTGTCTCCTGAGGTCAGCTCTGGAGATACAATGGTACATGGCACAAATCTTTGCAAGTGCTAAATATAATACCTCATATTAATAGGCTGTGAGCGAAGAGCACAAAATGTGTAATGGTGTTCATAGGATACAGTAGCTAGGTGCATGTAGAGGGAATTAGTAAGGGCCTCATAAAGGAGGCAGCATTTGGTCTGGGAACTGAAGGAAAGACAGGATTGGAGATGCAGAGATGCTAAGGCAGGTTGTCCTCAACAGAGAAAGTATCATTGCTGATGATACTTTCATATGCCATTCTTATCTAATTATGTGATTCTAAGCTGAAGTGATCCAAGGAGGCTCCTCAGAGTTGTGGCAAACTGAAGCCAGTGGTGTCGGTTGAAAGGAATCTGAGAGAAGATCAACACCCAGGAGAATCTAAGGCTCTGTTGTGGGTGAATCATTTTAGGCCATGTTTCAGAACAAAATTTCCATAGACTCCCTACCTAAATATTTATGGACTTAGGTTTTTTGTTTCAGAGGTTTGTTGAAAAACTCTGGAAGCCTATTGCAGAGAACTGAGTAAGGTAAAAATTTACCCTTTACTGGACACATTGTTTAGGAAGCAAATTAGTCTCCATTATCAGAAAGTTCTGAGGGAGAATCTAAAATGTGATACTTTGCCCAGCAGCTGACAATGTTTTTGCTACATTTTCGACTTGCCTTCAATTCTGTTTATTTCCCTTGTCTAATTTACTATCGAGGTAATTTAAACAATGAGAATACAGTGACCTGCAATTTTCCTAATTTAAAGGGATCCCTTGTACAATATTAAATTTGCATCTACATTGCCTTCCTAACAAAACTGTCACCTCTTTGAGGTCGGTATGATGTTATCTATTTTTTAGATAACATCTATCTATGTAATAGATCTCTCTATGCAATAGAATCACACAGTCCTTCCTAGACAGGAGGAGCACAAATGTTGGTTGATATTTAACAGAGAGATCGTAGACCTATAGCTTTCTCTTCAAGAGCTCAAATTTCACAGAGTAGATTCAGAGAGTAAATGTTTTTCCATGGCTCAAGCAAGAGGGGTGGTTTGTACGTTTTTTCTTTCTTCTTTCCCAGTTAGACTTTTGTAAATCTGCCAGATGCAATTGACAAACCCTGCTCAGCTTTGTCCAATATCTCATTTGAGGATCAGCATGAGTTTGTTTACTGCAGACTAATAGGAGTCAAGGATATACAAATTCAGCAATGTGTAGATGACTTTCCCATTCTTAATGGTGGCCTCCATGCAAAACTACCACCACATTGTTGAGTTTTAGAAGTTTATTATGCTTTATTATTGCTTATTAAAAAGAAATATAAATATAAATGTCACCACATTGTAATAGTTTTATAACCTGTCATATTTTAAAATACATCTTGAATATTCTTCAATATAATTAAATAAACTACAGCATAATTTTAGTATCTATGAAGATTCTATTATGTGCTTACATAATGGAATTATGTAAGAGTTATGGCTTTTACGGATAATTATGAGTTATCCATTTTAGCTCTCAATATGAATACATTATTGTTGTAAACAATGCTTATAATAAATATATATGGCTCAGTCACTTATTATTCTAAATCTCATTGTAGTCTCCAGTTAGTCATTATCAGTGTTTTGAAGTTCACTGGTTTGGCATTTTATGTATATTTATATCTATATGCATTAACAAAATTTATTTTTTTAAAAATAAGTATTTAATATTTGTTGGAGATAATTAGATATGTATATTTCTAAATATATATGCATATAGTATAAAACAATAATTCTATTAAATCCTATGCAAATAGTAATCCTACTTATGAAACCTACAGACCCAACCAGCTAGCTTCAGAAATAGAACATTGCTGGCATCTTAAAAACCAGTTACTAGTCTTTCCCCACTGCCTTCTCTCTAGCCCCCAAAGATGACCACTATCTG